TGGGCACTATACACTGCACTTGTAATGGTTTGGTTAGATGGTAAAAGTTCATAATGAAGAATTCCTTTAAAATTCCACCAAACACACAACATCACTTTTTTCGCATGCAAGTCAGGTTTTGGCGTGGGCTGTGGAGCCTCATTTTTGTCCAACCATTGAGGCCGCCTTTTCAAATTAACATACAGCACCCATTGTTCATCTCCGGTAACAATTTGCTCTAAAAACGGCAAACGGTTTTGACAAGAGAGGAGCGAACAGCAAATTGTGACTCTTTGATTATGGCTGTTGTCGGTCAACTCATGAGGAACCCATTTTCCAAACTTTTGGACTTTGCCAAGTGCATGCAATTGATTGGAAATTGTTTTTTGTGAACAATTTAAAGTTGTCGCAAGCTCTTGTTGGGTAATTTGAGGATTTTGCACCAAAAGAGCTTGAAGAGCTTCTTGATCAAAATTGGACACACGGCCTCGACCACTCTTGTCATCTAACGAAAAATTTCCCTCGCGAAATTTCTCAAACCAACGCTGGCATTTTCTGGCGCTAACTGCATCTTGACCAAGAGCACTACAGATGTTTTTTGCAGCCTCACTTGCTTTTCTTCCTAATTGGAACTCGTAAAGCATGCAGTGCCGAATATGCTCTTCATCCGCCATCTTCTTAGCCCTAGTTTTGCAACAAAAACCAAACCAAACACAAACTTTTTCAAGCAAAACTTGTTAATTGCACTTCACACGTTCTGTAAATACCACGTGTTTGAAGGTTATGTCAATACAAGTCAACGCCAAGCAAGATTTTAAACGAATGTTAAAAAACGACATTAATTATTACTAGATCCGATATTTTCAATAATAAAGATACATTTTTGAAAAGTTATATTACTGTATATGCCTCTAATTATGGTGGAATCATAAAACCCTAAGAACATGGGTAAGCAAATGGAATGGTCTTTTCTGATGGCAAACTCAAAGGAAAAATATTCCAGATATAAGAAGAATACCCTTCACCTTTCTTTTGTGAGTGGGTCCTTAACCGGGAATTGGCTCAGAGAGGTGGGATAAAGGCTTCTCATTTGCTGAAAGTCTTATGAGGAGATTTCCTGACATAGACCAGATGTCAATGAAGAATTCAGTAGAAAGGAAAAAATAAGTGTCTCCTGCACTGACCAGGTGGCTCAGTTGGTTGGAACATCAGCCCATACACCAAAAGGTTGTAGGTTTGATTCCTGATCAGGGAACACAACTAGGTTGTGGTTTTGATCCCTGGTTGGCATGTGTACAGGAGGCAACCAATAGATTTCTCTCCCTCTTTCTCCCTTCCTCTCTCTAAAAATGAATAAAAACATATCCTTATGTGAGAATTTAAATAATAACAATAAAGTGGCTCCCTTTCATAATTTATTCATTCATTTTGTCATTCATTCGTTCATTCATTCATTCTTTGACTTATTCAGCCTATTTTTCCCCCCAAGTAATACACAAACAGGAAATTACTAAGCACTGGAAATGCATCTGAAGTACTTTGGATATAGAAATGATAATAATAAAAATGAAACAATATGATACAGAGTAATAATGTATTGGCCATGGTGTCAAAACTACAAGAAATAACCTACTTTCTAGAAAGGAAGAACACCCAGTTTGAGACAGAGCTGAAGTGTCCCTGAAGCCAACTAATAAAGTGGATATCTTATAGACCATATTGAAAGGAAGCAATGTTGTTGTCAGAATTCAATTCATAATGGATCAGTACTTAAAAATTACATCTTTAATAACTACATAAGTGAAAATAAGATTCAGAGAAGTCCTGGTATAGAATGTTGGACAAACTGGTACATGGTGGTGCTTCTAGAAAGGAACAATTTCCTTAGTCAGAATATCAAGGTGGTTCAGGAGAATTAAACAGAATTCAGTATAAACTTTTTAGAGTTCTTCATAAAAATGTGTGTGCTATCCTATATAATAAAAGCCTAATATGCTAAGTGTCCAGTCATCTGGTCCTCCATTCAACCAAACAAAATATAATATGCTAATGATATGCTAAGGCCATTCAATCACTCACTATAACATGCACTGACCATCAGAGGGAAGACACTCTGACTGGTAGGTTAGCTTGCTGCCGGGGTCCTGCTGATCAGGACTGGGTGAGACAGGCCAGACCCACCCTGGAGCCCTCCCACAGTCCCACCCTGGCTGGCCCACCTTCCACATCCCTCCCTGGCCCCCATCATGCACTGGTGGTGTCCCTCAGTCTGGCCTGCACCCTCTTGCAATCCAAGACCCCTTGTGGGATGTCGGAAAGCTGATTTTGGCCTGATCCTACAGGCCAGGCTGTGGGATCCTACTGGTGCATGAATTCATGCACCGGGCCCTTGGTGACTATTATAATAAAGTATATCATTCTCAGTATGAATGTGTGTGTATGTGTACCTATAATCTCCCCCATATGACCTTCCCTCTTTATAAACTTACCTGTTACCCAATGAGATAAAAAATATTATAGAAACCCAACAATTCTGGACAATAGCAAAAAAATCTGAGATTTTATTGTAAGAGTAACAGAAGCCATCGATAATGATGAGAATAGTTATCCACTCTAGATGGCTAGACACCATTCATATGACAGACCCCTGGCTGCTTCAATACAACCCACTTTATCTGTGTTTCGATGATTTGAAAACTGCCCAGGGCTAGAATTGCTTTTAAGCATCCAACTCCAATTTCCAGCTTACTACTCTTCCTTTTCCACTGAGAAGCAATTTAATGTTTCATGTTGTTTTTTTTTATTTTTTATTTTCTCTCTTCTCACACTACAGCGGCAGGTTCCATGCTCGGCAATGCTGTGACTGAGACATACATAAGCATAAATGCCTCTCAGGAAACTCCTACATACTTCCAGCACATTCCCCCAATACCCTTTCTCTGCTTTCCAAAGATACCTTTCTGGGTTTAAATGAGCCCGTTTTATAAGAACAATAACTTTCCTAGTGGTATTTATTGTAATGTAAAAACTACACGTTCCAGAATACACAGTCCCTATCGAGTAACAAGGTATCATTAGTTCCAGACAGCAAGCTTTATTATTTTTCACCTTTTAAACTCTAAAGCTTGTCATTTTATTAGTTTCAGAAATGGCTCTACTGTTTATCTGCCTTTTTGCTCAATGAGAAATTATACAAAAAAGTTACACATCACTTTTTCAAAAATTGTTCACCAAGAGTGAATCTAATTCATATATTTACAATTATTTCAATTACTTATATTCCTAAATGTAAGGAGTATATAATCACACATCACATATTTCTTTATTCCATCGCTCTTTCCTTCAGTTTGAACTTACATATTTCTACAAGTAATGATTTATATTCAAAAGGATCATAAAAAAATGAAAAGGTTGTATAAATGCCACTGCTTTGCTGTGAATTTTACATGCTCTTGCTGAACTCAAGTTTGTGGACACCTGGAATGGCTTTCCACTGTAAAGGGAAATACATTTAAGCATGAGATAGTGTATCCGGCAATAGCTGCTTGACACAGAAGAGCCCCTGAAAATGTGTGGGGAAAAAGTCCTTCCTAATCACACATTTACACATGCATTCCTCATTTTTTCTTTTCTATAGCGTAATGCTCGATCTTAATAGGAAAGTTCACCCTGCTTACTCCTTTCACATCTATAAGAGTTTCACAGCCTCATGTCAACTTTCAGAAATCAGAGTCTGTCAACTAGAGATGAAACAAGCTTGTCTAAGCCATGTAATCTATAATCTATAATAATAAAAGCATAATATACTAATTAGACCAGACAGCTGAACAACCTTCCTGGCGAAGCTGGGGCTGCAAGAGCCTCTAGTTGGTTATAATATAGAAAAGAGGATGTGGGCATAGATTTCTGTTATTTTTATGGTTTTCATTATAATGATACTCATGACCATAGGGCCTACATAGAAACTATCAAAACAGAACATTAAACTTTATCATTGTATTTGAGAATTCCTGTTATATTAATTTATGCTTTGATGTCTCCGAGACCTGTGTCATTTTCTTATTTGCATCTTCTCATGCTTCTTTTTTCCCCTTAAAAAATAAGTAACATCTCAGAGTAATTAAAAAAAATAATAATTAACATGATGGCTGGAGAAATTCTAGAAAATTATAAAGAATAAAATTGGTTACAATCACACAATCCTGAAATGGGATTTTCTCACAAGGCTCTTTTTCCTTTTGTAATGACTTTCAATTTTTTAATAGTTTACTAAAATTAATTTATGTTTTATGTGGAAAATTAATAATGTTTTATAATAAAAATTTAGAAAATATAGAAAAATAAAAGAATAAAGTTACTCATGTCATCATCCAGTGATAGCCCAAATTTACTTCCATTCCCATATCTATTTTTCTCTGTAATAAACTAGGATAACATTTTATTGCCCCCATTAAGCTTTCTCACATACCTATTGATGAGTAATTTATGGTTATTAAAAAGTATTTAAGAATAAAAAATAATATCTGCATCATTTTCTATCTTGTTTCTGTAGGTCATTTAACCTACTCAGCTATTTAAGAAAATAAGGCAGTAGAAAACATCTCCACTTAAACATTATCAAAATTTCTTTCCAACTCAGTCAGTTTTATATGTGAAACAAGAAAATAAAGGCTTCCTTTTCTTGAAAATAAATTATTTTCTTATATTGACCTGATACATGTTAATTAAATTTAGAGCTCTCTTTGTACTGTTTGCTCCATTTTTCTAATATAATGCTTATGCCAAGAAGGAAACAAAGAAAAAAGGATACTTCAGTATCAGAGATCAGTACAGTATTTCTCATCTTAGCTGAAAATTAACTTCATAGTAAACACGACTTTCTCAAACACGACTTTCTGCGACATTATGGTGATGACATTTTATTTAAATAGGTAGAATAGCAACAATAATGAAACACATATTCAGCATCTTTAAAATTATATCTTCCCCTGCAGAGAATGAAAATTGTCAGAATTGTTTACCTGGGGATATGATATAGAAGAAATCTTTAAATTCATCCATCCACACTTCTGCCAGTCTCCTGTTGTTCTTGTTGATGACATGACCGGTGCCACCAGGAAAAGTGTATGGAGTTGCTTTCCGAAAAACATGACCCACATGAGAGCAAGTCACAATCTCCAATGAGCCTCCACATTGCCAGATCTGGGGAAAATAGCAATTGTTGTAGAATAGTCATTGCAGATAATGCAGTGATATTGTCTGAGAAACAGCTGAGGCTAAGGCAAAATTGTCAGATCTTATAAGGTTCAAGCAAACATTGGATGAACACATGTAGAACTAATACACTAAGGTTTGGCAAAAGATTCTAGTTTGAAATTACTTAATATATTTAAATACTGTAGCATCACAATAATAGAAATAAGACAATTATTTTTATGTGTCTTTATGAGACTACCTATTTTTTAGTGTCTAGTAGTTAACCTAATTGCTATTTAACGGATAGTATTTGGTATCCAAAATTTGCAGTGAATGAATTAATTTGTACATATTAGATACATGTTCAATAACTAAATTTGATTTTAAGGAAAATCAGTCTATTATTCTGCATCCATCTGGAATTTTAAATGACCATTAATTCTCAGTTGTCCATATCTCCTGTCTTTGGATATGTTATTAGTCTTATTAAAATGTGCTAGGATTCCTTTATATAGCCACAACATTTGTGCATCCTTCAAAGCTTATCTCCAAGAACATTTCTGTTTAGTATTTAATACTAGAGTCTTGGTGCATGAAAATTCATGCACTGGAGGAGGGTGGTCCCTCAGCCTGGCCTGCCCCCCTCTCACAGTCCTGGAGCCCTCAGAGGCAGGAGGTAACCCGGCGATCAGGGAAAGGTGATGCCCCATCGCACCTCTGCTACTGTCACTACACTACCAGCAGCACAAGCCTTGGCCAGCCCTGGTTACCTGAGTCTCGGTTACCCTAAGAGGCTGGGCAGCTGACATCTGAAGCTTGCCTGTACGAGGGCATTGGCTATGCAGCTGCCCTTGGAAGCTTGCCTGAGCTTCGGGCCAGCCCTGGGAGGCTGGGGGGCTGAGGGGACTGAGCACTGCTATTTTGTGGGTGTGGGTGCCACCATATTTGAGGGTGTGACAGTCAATTAGCATATTCTTTCCTTATTGGCTGTGGGAGCCACCATCTTTGAAACAGCATGATGGTCAATTAGCATATTCTCTCTTTATTAGATAGGATGTGTGTTTTATATTTTAAACCTGTTTTTATGAAGAAATATTTGCACTGTAGTGTAAGCAGTCGTTTACTCCACTATCACGCCTTTCAAATTATGAACAATCGGAAGGCATATGGGATGTATTTCTTGTTACCCTAGACTTACTGTGAAATTGAGGCTATGTATTAAGTAAAGTACCCATAAACATTTATTTCTATACAACTATTGTACATTGTATAATCATAAGTTATATTTGTGTGTTTTAATATAGACAGATATTATATTATATAGATATGTAGTATATAGATATGAAATATATATATATATATATATACACTATACATTCAGATATTTACTTCATATACATATTACATATGTAATATAGTTTTTATCCCAATAAATAAAGTCATAGTGATTGCTATATGTAATTGAAATGACCTGGTTTTATATTTTAACTAACATTCTTATTTCAAGGAGAGTTGCTTATCTTTAAAGAAAACATTTTTCCAATTAGTCCCTCAATTAATATTCGTCTTAGAAGAGTGCTGCTATTGGGCTTAGGCAGTGGAATGAGATATTCACTTTTACCAGGAAATGAAAGATGCAAAATAACAAGTTATATTCATCAACCATGTTTTGAGTGTTACATATAGCAGCTATCCTTTCTCATTTTCTAACTGTCTAAAGAGTATAATGCTAACAGAAAAGATGTTACAATCCAACACTGAAACGATGAAGCAATATAAAAGACGAATGAAAGTTATCATTCCCCTCAAAATACAAGATAGCGCATTCTTAATTAAAGTATTTAATTAATTGGCAATTTTCTCATCTTTCTAGCATGGAGGCTATAAACCTTTCTGTAATCACATACATCTTTACATTCTCCTCTAGTATTGAAATGGAGGAAGTTGACTCTTCTCCCACCAGAGATAAATTTGTACTTGACAATCTAGATCACATTCCTTAAATCTATCCTAAAGATTTAACTGGTTTGGTCCTCCCCTTAATCTTCTCCTGAAACACAAATCATTTCCCTCATTACTACATTATATCTATCTTCACGTAGTATCCCCTAAAAAGTCTTATCTCTCAAATAGGTTAAAAATATATAAACAAAATTTTAAAATCACTAAATACAACAAAAACTCCGTTCCTCTGTTCAAATTTCCATTCAAAATTTTTCTGTTTCCTGTCACTGTAAATTAACATAAGATTTGTATTGATATAGGTTGTTTCCAATCCTCCATTTTTCTTGTTTCTTGTTTCTGTTTTCGTTTTTTTGTTTTGTTGTTTGTTTGTTAATCTTCACCTGAGGGTATTTTTCCCCCCATTGTTTTCAGAGAGTGGAAAAGAGGGGAGGAGGAGAGAAACAAAGGAGAGACAGAAACATTGATGTGAGAAACATTGATTGGTTGCCTCCTACATATGCCTCAACCAGCCTGGGGATCTAACTGCAACCCAGGTACATGTCCTTGACTTTGAATTGGACCTGAGACCCTTCAATGCCAGGGTCAACGCTCTAACCACTGAGAAACACAGGCCAGGGCATTCTTATCCATTCTTTTATTCATTGTGAAATGCTTCCTATTTCTGTAGCTACCCCAAAAGTGTCATGGTGAAAGTCACAAATTTTCGCCGAAACCGGTTTGGCTCGGTGGATAGAGCGTCGGCCTGTGGACTGCAGGGTCCCAGGTTCGATTCCAGTCAAGGGCATGTACCTTGGTTGTAGGCACATCCCCAGAAGAGGGTGTGCAAGAGGCAGCTGGTCGATGTTTCTCTCTCATCGACGTTTCTAGCTCTCTATCTCTCTCCCTTCCTCTCTGTAAAAAATCAATAAAATATATTTAAAAAAAAAAGAAAATCACAAATTTTCCCCTTGATATACACATAGTGGACTCCCTCTTAGATTATCTGACTTTTGGCCCTATTATCATATGGCTTGTGGCCACAAATAGCAAGTGGAACCACACAGAGACAGTAATAGGCAGCTATCATAACACATGGTATCAGTTAGGACCCCTGGCCCTCCTATCTGATCCTATACCTTGGGGGACTAGCATCCCAGAAAACCCTTCCAGGCACTTCTATCAGCATGAGCCCTAGGAGAGAAGAGAATGTGAGATATGTATTGCTTTTGAAACCAAACCTTTAAATTACTAGTATTTTTAATAACTTACAGTGACCAAAAAGCTACAGAATCTGTTCCAAATGACATTGGGATTGGAAAGAAGTGTTCTTCAGAGCATGAAACAATGACTGGAGAAAAAAAGTAAAACTATTTTAAGTTTGTACCCCATTAAACTCAGACTATACAGTAAGCCCTATTGTATATAAATTAGTGATTGGCAACTGTCCTTAGGGTTCTCAGTTTTCCTTTTTGCAAATACAGATTGTCACTGCTTGTGAAAGTGAGGATACTTTATTTGCATTTTGCCATTTCTTGGCCCTACCCTTATTTGTAGATTTACAGATTCTATTGCTAAACATGCTCACACACAAAAATAATAATATCTAGTTTAAAATCTTTTACAAGCAGGTTTAAATGGTTTCACTTCTTTTCTTACTAATAGGCAATGGTGAGGATATATGAAAGTGCTGATTTTTGGTAATCTTCCTAACTTGCAATGAGATTTAGTGTGTGCAAGTATTGGCATAATGCAATAGTGGTTGTTGATTTACAAGACGGAGGAAAAAGCTGTCACTGATTTTGAATCTCACAGATGGAGCCAATTCTTAAACACATTTAGGAGAGATAATAGACGTAGAGGTAACTCTTCCATAGCTCAGCAAATATTGGCCTGTGATTTGCTTGTGAGCCATAGTCGACTGACTCCTGGAACAAAGTGAGTACTTTTCCCTTGCCATCTGTGCACACAGAATGTGGGGATAAACATCCATGTAGCATTTCCTAGGTAGAGTCTCTCCCCCAAATTTACATGAACACAAAAAGATCAAGGTAGGAATATATAATATTATGCATTAATTAGAGTTATATGTTCACAACAATACCCAGTTAATATAAAAACAAAACATTTAGTTGATCAAATATTGCCCAGGTAGTTACCATGTACTTGGTAGATACAGTTCCCAGAAAATAATATAGCTCAATGTTAAAGTGAAAAGAATTCAAACTGAGTGAAGTCCCCTGTGCCTATCAGGATAATTTCCCTCAGTGTGTCTTTAATAAATGTTTTGGAAGGATGGAAGAGATGAAGGAAAGGAGAAAAAGAGGAAGAGAGAGTATGACCTAGTCATTTAGAATTTGGGTTTGGAAATAAGCAAATAGAAATGTTCTAGTGACGGTCACTTAGTATCTATGTATACTAGTACATGTGGAAATTACTTAAGTCTTAATCTCCACATTGGAAAATACGGATAATAATACTAACCACTTCCTAAGATCCCAAGGAGATTCTGTGTATCAAGCACTGTGCCTGACACTTCATCTAAGAAGAACTAAATTGTTATCGGTATATTCACTTAACTATCGTTGTTGTTCAGGGGAACAAACATCTACAGATTATCAGGTTATTCTTGCTTCTTAGAAATATTTTATTTAAGCCTTTTTTGGAATTATAATAAAAATGTCTAGGAGATTAGGTAAAGTAAGGCGTGTTGTTTTTTTTTAAATAGTCAATTGGTCTCCAATTAGAATACATTTTGTTCTCTAAAATTTACAGTGTCTGAACAGAGTATACACTGAATAAAACACGGTGTCTCCTCCGCATGAGCACATGATGTCTGAATTAGAACATGAACAAATAATGTCCAAATTATTCTGCATCATTGAGCATATCTGATTGTTATTTTCTAGGCTTCTAACAAATTAATATTTGTACATCGTATCTGTCTCAAGTGCATTTGATCATGTACAAAATACAGACTGTCCTTTCGTCCACAGAGGACTGAAGCTAGTTAGTTACTCGTCCTTGTTCCCAGATATTTTCATGACAGTCTTTTGATGATGGAG